GTTATGAGTCCCATGTAATAGGGGGTGAGCCTATTGCCATATACCGGGCACAATTCCAGACTCCGTGCTACTACTGTGAATATTTAAAAAAAACCCAATAATACTTTGCCGGACCCGGGAATCCAACCCGAGACCCCTTGCCCGGCAGTCGCACTTAAGACCACTCGGCCAACGAGGCAATCGATTTTCGATTTTAAATCGACCAATAACAAATGCAACACTTGCGTCTAATTGTTCTATGTAGGTATTTGGTATCTTTATTCTATAACATTAATAAGAGAATTACTGTTTCAGTTTGGAATGCCAATTCGTTACCATCAGGTAATTACTACGGATCCTCTAGACATTACGCAAGTTACGACCAATGTTTAAAACCACCATGGCTGCACACCCATCCACAATTGAAAACGAAGTACTGCTTCGCCGACTTCCTACTTTCTGATGACAACCATCGTGTTAAAAGATTAGCTGATCATGACCCTTATGAGTCTACAAAGGAATTTATTAACGTGAGTAACATTCAAGATTTTTTTTTTATTATCATTACAATCAGCAGAGTCTGGAATTGGGATGACAGGGTATGACAATTAAAAATTTAAATAGTCCGTAAGTTAGGTAATAAAAAAATATTAGACACGTATTTTTTTATTTTGTCGTATAATAAAACGACACTTAGATAAAACGAATCAAAGTTTAGGAGTGAGGGCTAAAACGTCATTTCTACGTATAAAATGTACATAGAAGTGACGTCACGCGACATTTCAAATCAATATATCGTCGAAAGTATTCGGTTTTGTAAGAAAATAAAAAATACGTGTCTAATGATTTAAAATAATGTACCAGACGGACATTAAAATAAAAATTAGACATCCTCCCTATTGTGTCCGGTATCCTGGGTGTAAACGGAACGCTGCCGAACGCCGCCAGGTGATGGTAAAAAACAAGTTTTATTATCATAGAAGTAAGAAATAAAATGTTTTTTTATGTACCTAATAATAATAGTTGTAATCAACTGGTCGAGGCTTTTTTTGAGGGGGGAATATCATCCAATGACTTCTCCCACCCGGGTGACGCGGGAGGGAGTGTCAGACTCTTACTGACTAAAAACCACCCCGTTCCTACTCCTGCACTTCGAGCCAGAGCCCCGGTAACCCGTTAGGACCTGTATGCTGTAATAGGGTATGAGATAACCGTGGTGGTTCAAAGGTTAAAGCAACCGCTTCTCATGCATGAATGAAACCTAACAAGTACCAATCTGCCATGAGCAAACATTGTGATTTATAAGGGCCTTCATCGCAGCATTGAGTTGAGCGTACATGCCCAACGCTGATTTTCGGATGGCACCCTGGTGACATTTTTTGTTGCATTATCTATCTGAAGTTTGGAATAAAATGTTCAGTAGTGAGTCGAGTGAGATCGAAATTAATACTTAATGAACTTCATCTTAGAAAATGCTGCTTGCTGTGTTTTTACGGTCCGAACAAAATGAGTCGGCCGTCCGGATGCGGGCTATGTTTTTTTTTTTTATTGGAACCACAAACTCGTTTACAATACACCTTAATATTTATATCTTTACTAATACAATTTTACTTATTGCAAACTCAACATCAATGGTCACCTAAATATAAATTATTTAGAAAATGATGAACCTGCACCTCAATATAATCAAATTTCATAGGAAGTGTTACCGTGGTGAAAAAAATTAGAAAAAAAAATGTATGCATGCATACATATGTTTGTGTGTGTGTCTGTGTGTGTAGGTTGCGGTTATAACACAATATAACGATGTACGATTTTGTGGTTTATATATTTTCCTGTGATAATATTTTGATTATTTGCTTTCTGTATGCATGCTCCGTCATTTAATTACCCTTGCCCTTTTACACGACAATCATACATAACGTAACTGAATGTTGCCTTGTAGGTACCTCGTACCTATCCCAGATAAAAACGCGTGACGTCATGTTATGAGTATCAATACTTTACTCGTTCAACTATGTAACTTCTATGGTACCTAGTTAACTTGTGACAAGGGCGACCACTTAGCAAGGTAAACGAGTTGAGGTAGATAAACAAAGATTTAAGAAAAACTAGACGCGTGAAAATATCAAAAATACGTCATTATATAAATTGTTTTGACGTACATACATACATAATGTTTAAAAAATAAAAAAGACACAGAGTATCAACTGAATAATTTATACAAGGTGTTGTTTTAAAGCCGCGTCATTTTCTGGGAGGTAACTCGGCTATCGAGTCTGAGTCCGAATTAATAAAAAAAATTGTAGGTAAATATTTTTCATTTTTTTGAAATTACGGAAGTAAGTGCGAAGTACACGCCGCCGTCTTGTAACTAGCTTTATAATGCGGCTTAACACACACAAACTCAAACACGTAATTGATATTATTCCTAATTCCATAAAACTCCAACAAGAAACATTGCTGTCGCTTATTCTGAAATACGGTCGAACTTAACTCGTTGAGTATCGTCATTATAGACACAATTAAAGAACAATAGGTTGCGGTCACCGGTGTCCTCGCGGTGTTTGACAGTTTAAACGATTTATTATAGCCGTATTTTTAACTATTGGCCCGAAATTTTCTCTTACATTTAACCTTTATGACTTCTGTGGCATGCCCCCGAGAAATAGCACGGTTTGAAAGCTACACCTTGTATTATACTAGAAAAGCCCTGTATCACAGGCCAAAGTAGCTTTAACATCGTATACTAATTAAGGACATCTTATTTCTATTAACCAATTCAATTTATTTCATTTCAGTCAGTTACACCATCAGGCATGCCCGTGAATCACATCATGTGGGGTGTATGTATACCAGCAGTTTGCTCATCGTCAGCAGTCTCCAAGCTGAGCAGGGTGGTGTATGAGTCCGCCACCTTCAGCACCATAGCGTCTGACGTCACGGTGAAACACTGCCAGGAGGCTGGTGAGAGCCCGCCATACTCCACTGGGTTTTATATCTTTATGTAAGTCATAGACAAACAGAACATCACATATTTTATTCGATTTTATTAATTTTTATGGGAATACCGGTTGGTAAACGAGCAGACGGATCACTTGATGGTAAGCAATCGGCGTCGCCTATGGGCACACGGAATACCAGAGGCGTTGCAAGTTCGTTACCGGCATTTTGGGGATTCGAAATTTGAGGATTGTTTGGGATTCAGGGATTAGGGAAATTGGGGAGGGGTGGGTAATTGGGCCTCCGGTAATCTCACTCACACGACGAACTATAAGAATTCAGAGAAGTCGTAACACATGCAAACTTTCTTCTGGATGACCCGATGACATCTTTAAAATTACGGAAAGCCATTGGTTGCAATTTGAAGTTTGTCTTTCGACACAGAGGCTTTCATTGACAAATGCCTCTAGTCAGTGATTTGATGAGAATGATGTAATAAAGGACGAGGCTATATATGTAATATAACTAGAACTAGAACTATACAATAGAACTCCTGCTTTTTGCAGTCTAATAACATAACATCACGCCTTTTATCCCCGAAAAGGTAGTCAGAGGTGCACATTACGACACTTAATGCCACTGTACAATGTAACACCCACTATTCACTACTTATATTATAAGTCCCATGTAATAGGGGGTGAGTCTATTGCCATATACCGGGCACAGTTCCAGACTCCATGCCACTACTGAGCATTTCAAAAAAAAACCAGTAATACTTTGCCCAACCCAGGATTCGAACCCGAGACCCCTTGCCCAGCAGTCGCACTTGCGACCACTCGGCAGTCTAAGAACAGAATACATTTCAGCTCAATTGATTGAAGATAGCTGTTTCAACATTTAGATGCAAGATTTCACTTAACACATATACATACATTCATACATACATTGCAGTTTAAATAAAAACACGTAAAATATCGCACGTATTGTATATGCATTTCTGCTCCAATTGAGAAAATAATAAAAGTTGCATAGACAATTGTAATTATAATAGTTTACTTGATCTGAGGCTAATTACATTCAACATTGACCTCTGTAGACTTATTAAAAATGAGATCATAGTTAATGAAATAATGACACTGCAATTATAATACCTCTTTTTACACAAGCGAAGTTGCCAGTTTTCTCTTGTAAATTAAAACTAGATCGGCTTTTAATGTTTCTGTATATTAATACATAAACATAGCCTCGCGCCTTCGGAGCGAGGGGGACTGGGATGCCGTCTCCTCCTTTTGCGAAGCAGTCATGCTAGCTAAGGAGGAGGCGGGACGCGTGAGGCAGCGAAGCGCTGCCTCCTCGCAACCCAGCCATCGCGAAGGACACACCGGGCGTCGGGGATCGCGGGACGATCTCCGGCCACCGTAAGCGCGGGACTGCGGACGGCGAGCATGTCTCCCCGGGTGGCTCCCCGTCCGACCAGAAACAGACCCGAGCGTACGGCGCGTAGCGTTCCGCGCGCGCCTCAAAGAGCCATCAGACCACCACAGATGGGGCCCAATAGGGCCGATGCCGATTCGGAGTCGCGGAGAACCTAACGGGTAACCGGGGCTCCGGCTCGACGTGCAGGAGAAGGAACGGGGTGGTTTTTAGTCAGTAAGAGTCTGACACTCCCTTCCGCCTCACCTAGCAGTCATTCGATGATTTTCCCCCCTTAAAAAAAAAAAAAGCCTCGCGCCTTATACTCCCGGAAGAGATAGTCATAGGTGAAACAACTTAAGAGTAACATGAGTTGTACTACATTAAGTAATTAGTGTGGCTATAAATAACATAATTTAGTTAGTAGGTTGCGTCATGAATGGGCCAATAACGCGCATTCGGCAAAATGTTAGTATAGCAGAATAAGTTAAAAAGTAAAACAATTGAAATCATGTGGCGATGCTCGTACAATCACTATAGTCGAAAAATTACTTGCATCGGTAGATATATAAACTAGGTCAAAGTCCACGATCATACACTTGCTGTATTAATTAATCATGATTTATAATATTTTTCTTTCTAGATTATTGATACTGTCACTGGTAATGACAGCCGTAGCTTCTACCTACTATCGGCTGCATGTGTCAGCTAAGGATGAATCCTCGCACAATTTAAGTAAGTGGTTTTATATTAATTTCCTACTAGCTTTTTAAAAATATCTCAGTAGTAGCATGGAGTCTGGAAATGTGCCCGGTATATGGCAATAGGCTTACCCCCTACATGGGACTCATAACATACATAGTGAAAAGTGGGTGTTACATTGTATAGTGGCATTAAGTGCCGAAATGTGCACCTCTGCCTACCCCTTCGGAGATAAAAAGGCGTGATGTTATGTTATGTTATGTTATGTCCTACTAGCTCAACCGCACTTGACGCTATTTATCATCAACATACATTGTGCTTAACAAAATAATATCATTTGATTGAAAAAGAGTAACCTATGGAGTTTCTTGCTCGTTCTTTTCCATAGGAATCTACACCTTGGAATGAGCAAATAGCTTCACTTTTAATTTTATTGTTGACGTTCAAAAGTGCCTTTCTGGTCTAATTGAAATTAAATGAATTTGACTTTGACTTTGACTTTGATTTAGACTTTGACTTTGACTTGATTTACTGTTACCAAACAAAGGCCGTGTCCAGGGGCGGCACTGATCGCTAACACCAGGTGATCCGTCTGCTCACTACACACTGTACACTCAATACATTATGGGACAAATGCCTTGCGACACATGTCGTCAACGACACGTCGCGACGTCGGGTAAAGTAGCGCGACTATCTAGCACCATCAACGTCACTGTTGGTGACTTGACTTTAACTGCACGGTTGGTGCGGTGGCTGGGCAACCGGCTGCCGTGCAACGTGTCGCGGGTTCGATTCCCGCCCGGAACAACACTTTGTGTGATCCACAAATTGTTGTTCCGGATCTGGGTGTCATGTGTATGTGAACTTGTATGTTTGTAAACGCACCCACGACACAGGAGATAATGATAGTGTGGGGCAACTTTAGGAAAAAAAAACCTGTGTACATAAGTTGCGCGTTGTCACCGTATATGATTGAAATGAAAAAATAGTGTTCCATACTTTCGTTAGCTGTGATATTCTCTTTGAAAAATAGGTTGCATATTTCTCTAATTAATAGTGAACCTTATATTCCAGTAACAGTCATAACAAAAGCCTTCAACATCTTCAAGAACCAAGAAGACTTAGTAAAAGTCAATAAGGATGAGATTCGTGTGATGAACGGCATGAGATTCCTTACTGCAGTCATTATTGTAGGCATACATGTAATGTTCTACATGTCCATATCTGGTATAGGCAATTTAATGGATGTTGATGCGGTAAGTCTTTGAAAATATACCTTACTAGCAGCCCGTCCCGGCTTCGCACGGGGTAGACCATTATTTATTTTTGGAAATTTGGATTGTTGTAGTGACATAACTACAATAGTTGGACATAAACTACCGCGGAGTTTTTTGTAGACATTATGATTTTTTCAATATTGTTGTGCATTATTTTGTTCTATCGCTAATAGTTTCGGCATCGCATTCGACGAAAGACATTTTAAGACTCATTTTTCTACACCTTCGGTTACATTGTTCAAATTTTACCAAGAATCCCTAATTTTTTTCAAAATGAAATGTAGCCTATGTCAAATTGGAAGAATGTAACATTCTATTGGTGAAAGAATTTTTTAAATCGGCCCTGTACTTTTTGAGCCTATTCATTACAAACATACAAAAATAGGTACAAATCTTTCCTCTTTATAATATTAGTATAGATTTATTTTAAAAATTTGTTGTTTCAGTTTTTGGAAAGCTTTGGTGGACTACTTCTTCACTTTGATCTCTTTGTGGATACATTTTTCACTATATCTGGACTACTGCATATCAAGGGATTAATGGGAAAAAGGCAGAATCTACTTAATGTGCTTCTGAAACGGTATATAAGGTAAGCCTTAGTCCATAGAGGTCCTGACTCTCCACTCAACAGAACTATGGTATGAGTCTAATGGTATAAATACTAGTCTCATCGAATGAATCGACAAATAAATGTATGGAATTGATACTTTTATAGGATAAGTCGGCAAACGAGCACACGGATCGTCTGATGGTAAGCAATCGGCATCGCCCATGGACACCTGAAACTCCAGAGGCATTACAAGTGCGTTACCGGCCTTTTAGGAGTTGGGAATTTAAGAAATGTGGGGAATTCGGAGATTGGGTAGGGGTGGGGGGTAATTTGGCCGACGGTAACCTAAGTCACACAACGAAACACAACGCAAGCGTTATTTTACACCGGTTTTCTGTAAGGCTGTGGTATCGCTCCGGTCAAGCCGGCCCATTCGTGCTGAACTCTCAGGCTCTCCCACACTTAAAATGACTAATTAATTACTTTTTTATGGGATAAGCCGGTTAACGAGCAGACAGATCACGTGATGGTAAGAAATCGGCGTCGTCCATGGACACCTGAACTTGTTTTACACCGGTTTTCTGTAAGGCCGTGGTATCGTTTCGGTCAAGCCGGCCCATTTTTAGCGAAGTCTTAGGCTCACCCACACTTAGAATTACGAATTAATTTGAAATGGTAAAAATATTGTCAAAACTAGTTTCAACCTCATCCAATTTTTAATAAACCTGATTCAACTGGCGTTTATGCTGAACAGAAATAATCAATTACAATTCTATGACCTTCAAAAATACAGTTACTCATCTGATGCTTTTTTGCAGGTTAATAGGACCATTCGCGCTAATAGTCTTCTACTTAATATCAGTATCGAAGCATCTTAGCTCGACTCCAGCCTGGCTAGGATTGGAGGAGACAGAAGTTTGTGAACAGCACTGGCTGAAGAGTTTACTCATGATGAATTCAGACGTGAAGGACATTGTGAGTAACTTCTTGAAAGGTCCTATATCGTTAAGGGCTTGCAATTTGGAAGCATCCAATAACTCCTTGAATAAAGTGTCTTCTATTCTTTACAGTGTCATGATGTGACTTGGTATTTAGCCTGTGATTACCAGCTGGCAATCCTGGGGACTCTACTCTTCTACTTCTATCAAAGGAACAGGAGTTTTGGATTTGTATCTTACGCAATTATTGCAGTCTTGTCCATGATCATTCCTGGAGCGCTGACATACTTGTTCCAGTTACCTGGGGTTCTTTTTAAAGATTATGGGTAAGGTATTAATATTTATGTTCTTGAATAGTATATTTATTATCAGTTCATTGTCCACTGTCTTATTATCAAATGCCTTCGTCCAAATGTATTATGTACTAGCTATTGCCCGCGACTTGAATATGAAATACGTAGAATATGAATTTTAGATCGTAACTTGTTTATTGTTACAATTTTCCGAAATAAAAGTAGCCTATGTTACTCCATAATATATCAGCTACCTGACAATAAAAGTATTGCAAAATCGTTTCACCCATTCCAGAGATTAGTCAGTACAAACAGACAGACAAATGTAAAAAAATGATGTTTTGGTAGGTGTATCGTATGTACATTTTAATACCATAAGCCGGTAAACGAGCAGACGGATCACCTAATGGTAAGCAATCGGCGTCGCCCATGGACACTCGAAACACCAAGGCGTTACAAGTGCGTTACCGGCCTTTTGGGAATTAGGAATTTGAGGATTGTGTAGGATTTAGGGATTCGGGAGACGGGGACTAGGCAGGGGGGTAATTGGGCCTCCGATAACCTCACTCACACGACGAAACACAACGCAAGCGTTGTTTCACGTCGGTTTTCTGTGAGGCCGTGGTATCACTCCGGTCGAGCCGGCCCATTCGTGCCGAAGCATGGCTCTCCCACACTTAAAATGTGGTTATATGCATGTAGTAAAATGTGGTTATTTTAATATTACAAACAGATACTTCTGTATAGATGATATATGGTTTCCATTTCAGAACAGTTAATAATATAATCATTATAGAAAGTTAAACTTACTTTGATCACGAGGTAGATTTTCCAAACTTTCCAATCGTTTAAAAGATTTCGACTTCTAAAATGGGTTTAGAAGACACGATGTAATTATTCTTTCCTTTCAGAAAGGGTAGTAATAAAAGCTCCGACAATAAAAGAAGAATTGTCCTTACTGAAAATATATCTACTGCCTAAAATACTAACTTTCCGACTACTTTACATGACTGTTTCTTGCTACAATACTAACCTAACCTAAAACGTCTGTTGTCGGTAACTTTAGTAATTTTGTCGGATATTCAATATTCTATTCGGAAGTTTAGTTTTGTTATTCGAAGATCCATTTTTATAGACGCCACAGATCGCTGGAGATTAATTTGTTTTTCGGAATCATTATTATTTTCCTTTCAGAAAGTACGTGATCCACTATCGTGAGGCTTGGGAGCACAGTTTAGTGTACACACCGGCCTTCAGCCGTGCTAGTCCATACATCGTGGGCGTCGCTATGGGATACTTCATGTCCATCTATAAACCTGCTGACTATAGGAAATCTGTTTCTAAAGTAAGTCTTTCTAAGAACCTCTGACTGCTTTATTAGTTTACTATTAGTTTACCTGCGACTTTGTTCGCGTGAAATTATTCATATTTCTTGTTAATTTATACTTTTTTGACGCGACAACGTGTTGATTGGCGAGGCGTATTTGAGAGCTAGTATGAAACGGAACGTTTATTGTCTACTCAAGTTGGCGACTGCGGTTTGTCTGACAGTGTCATTAAAATGAATTAATGAAACGAAATAATCTCCGTAATTAGAATTTTGCGGATATTTTGTTGTCGACTCGAAATCGACTTTTTTTATGTTTTGTTATTCAGGTAATGTTTCGATCGAGTCTACCGTACCCCTTGACGAAATTATTAATATAGAATTTTTAGTTTACAAGGTTTTATAATCTGTTTTTGGTAAACTATGAGTATTTTCATTACCTACATCTTCGCATCAGCTGTTTATTGTCTACTGGCCAATCATCTAACGCCTATGTCCTAATATATTACTGCCTCGTTGACCGAGTGGTCGCTAATGCGACTGCTGAGCAAGGGGTCTCGGGTTCGATTCCCTGGTGGAGCAGATTTTTTTTTCTAAAAACGTAGTACGGTTTTGAAAAAAAATATTTTAGATTCAGATTATTCGTAACATCTACTTTGACACAAAATCGGTTTAATATGAATGCCATTGACAAAAGATTGATGATTTCAAAAGCCGTACTTCTTCCACTTATTATTCCATTATAATTTGCAGGAATGGTCTATTATTGGCGTTGCAGTGAGTTTTGTCCTGATGATAGTCACAATGGCTCTCGCCTATATACTCAGAATACGAGGACACGACCCCATAGATGCCGCCATCACCGCAGCCACTAATAGGATCTTCTGGGCTGTAGCCATCTGCTGCATTATAGGGATGTGTGAATATGGAACAATCCGTAAGTATAATTTTTTTATGGCATCAGCCGGTGAACGAGCCGATGGATCTTGTCATCATCATGTCATGAACAGCCTATAAATGCCCACTGCTGAGCAAAGCCCCTTCTCACACGGAGAAGGTTTGAGCATTAATCACCACGCTTGCTCAATGCGGGTTGGTGATTACAAACTTATAATTAGAAATTATAAGCCCAGGTTTCCTCACGATGTTTTCCTTCACCGTTTGTCAGTGGTGTCTAAATAATCTTAGAAAGTACATATAATTCGGAAAAAGTCACATTGGTACTTGCCGTTGGTAGGTTTCGAACCCGCATTCTCATGCATGAAAAGCCAGCGTCTTAAACCTCCGGGCCACCACGACATGGATGGATCACGTGATGGTAAGCAATCGGCGTTGCCCATGGACACCTGGAACACCAGAGGCTTTACAAGTGCGTTACCGGCCTTTTGGGGATTTGGATGATTTTGAGGATTGTTGGGGATTCAGGGATTGGGGAAGGGGGTGGGGGGATTGGAGCTCCCGTAACTTCACACACACGACGAAACACAACGCAACCGTTGCTTTACCTCGGTTTTTTGTGAGGCCGTGGTATAACTCCAGTTGAGCCGGCCTATTCGTGCCGAAGCATAGCTCTCCCACATCTGAACATTATAATCTAGTTTTATTAAGAAACTATGCAAGAAATGACCCACATTTGTTCGATGCGTGATATTGCTGCTGAGCTTGGAACTCTATAGGGGTGCTTTTAGCGTTGCAGTCATTTAGTATGTAAGATAATTGTTGACTGCGCTAAATAAGGGAGTTAACTTAAAGACTTGAGCAAAGATTTGACCGGTTAAGCAGTCTTTGGGAGCTGAACAACGAGTCTACAAAATGTATATTAAAAGACGATCACTTAAAATTAACCCCAAGTTCCACTATTTCACGGACACCATTTCACCAATGTGTTCCGGCCAATGCATAATTTATATTAATAGCAATAAGACGCAATTCGTAGGATGCTATGAAAATTTGTATAGGCGCTTGCCCTCGTATATGGGTAGCATATCACTTGTCTCCAAACCGCGTACCTTGTATCACGCCTTTTTTATTTTATTAAATATATTAAGAATTTTGGGAGACTGTTAATTTTTGCCATCATTATATCCGCCAAAGATAAAACAAATGAATTAGTTGTTGTTGCTCAATGAGTCATTTTGTTTCTTTTCTAGCTATAGTCTCCCATATCCTGGGCTGGTCCGCGTTCACGCCTCTCAGTCGACTGTCCTACGGCATTTATATGACACACTCCCTCATCATACAGAGGTACAAGCTTGCACAAAGGTCGGCTCATCTCTTCGATTTCTTTTGCTTGGTAAGTACTTATAACTTTGTCATAAATATTGTTAACGAGTTTTTGTCGTGTGTTTTTAATTCCATTGTATTGTAATTTAAGAAGAAACTTCAAATAGAACTTTTTTATGAGATAAGCCAATGAATGATCATACGGATCACCTGATGGTAAGCAATCGACGCCGCCGATGGACGCTTGAAACACCAGAGGCGTTACAAGTGTGTTACCGGCATTTTGGGGATTACGAATTTGAGGATTTAATCGAGATTCAGGTATTGGGAAGATTTTGGTAATTGGGCCTTCAGTAACCTCACACGACGAAACACAACGGAATGCAAGCGTTGTTTCACATCGATTTTATGTGAGGCCGTGGTATCACTCCGGTCGAGCCGGTCCATTCATGCCGAAGCATTGCTTTCCCACACTTAAAACTGAAGATTTTTGAAAATTATGAAGTAGTTTCCATTTTCTTCAAGTATGTAATATGATGCCTGCTTACCTTTTGGTATTCCAGTATCCTTGATGAATGCTTTTTTTTTGTAAAATTGTACATTTTCTTTTCAGATTTATGACGTTGTAGGGACTGTGGGGCTATCAATAGGACTAAGTTACGCAATGTGGCTGTTTGTGGAGGCGCCACTGATCAACATCACCAACCATTTCTTCTTCAACAAGTATGCTACCTCTTTTATATCACACCAGCTACTGTCCTTAGCTTCGTACGTACCACGAGCGTGGGGCGCACGTCTCAAAGAACCATCAGACCACCACGGCTGGGGCCCAAAAGGGCTAATGCCGATACGGAGCCGCGGAGGACTTAACGGGTTGCTGGGGCTCCCGCTCGAAGGACAGGAGTAGGAACGGGGTGATTTTTAGTCAGTAAAAGTCTGACACTCCTTCCCGCCTCACCCAGGCGGGAGAAGTCATTTGATGATTTTCCCCCCTTAAAAAAAAGCTTCGTCCGTATAAAATTAATATCTTCTATCGCCTCCAGATAGGTACACTCCTCTTGCTATAATTTTATTTTATTATCTACAGGTCAAAGAACGTGCAACCAGATAAAAATCGTGGTGAGAATGGAATCCAGCATCAGAATGGAGTTATTAGGACTAAAGTTATGTAAGTTAAAAACTTGAGTGATGCAAGTCTCGTACTTTTACGAGGAAGCATTTTTAACTGATGACATTTTATTCCAAACAGGTTAAATGGAATTCAAGCAAACAAAAGTCATGACGAGAATGGAATCCAACATCACAATGGAATAGCTAAAACCAAAGTCTCATAATATGTAATAACTGTTTTAAATTGTTATTATTACTGTGTATAAAATATAGTTTATAGAAATTACAATTTAGTTTAATAGAAAAATGTAAATAATATAAATATTTTTTTGGGATTATTACGTTTTTTTTTCGGTACATGTGAACATAATGAACTTGAAGTTATGGGCAGACGTGCGCCGTCGTAAGCCGCATCATCGCGTAGGTATGTGTCGCATTCGTGTCTCTGTGCTAAGCCCATCTTTATTTTTATATCCGCAAGTGTGGGAGAGCCATGCTTCGGCACGAATGGGCCGGCTCGACCAGAGTGATACCACGGCCCCACAGAAAACCAACGAGAAGCAACGCTTGCGTTGTGTTTCGTCGTGTGAGTGAGGATAACGGAGGCCCAATTCCCTTCCCCTTCCCCAATCTCCCCAATTCCTGAATCCATAACGATCCTCAAACTCCTAATCCCCAAAAATCCGATGACGCACTTGTAACGCCTCTGGTGTTCCAGGTGTCCATAGGCGACGCCGATTGCTTACCATCAGGTGATCCGTCTGCTCGTTTACCGGCTTATGCCATAAAAATAAAATATATTAATTTATATGTGTAATTCTTTGCCGGAGTCTGTGTTTCCTGAAGGGTATATACTATATTTAACCTGGGTGTCTCCAAGGCCCGAGTGAATAGGTTGCTTATGGGGCAACGTGCTCCATCGTAGACCGCATCATCGCTTACCAACAGGCGAGATAGTGGTCAAACGTCGGCCTATCAAATATTAAAAAAACCTGCATAGTAAATAGCCGTAAATAGTAGGTAGATACCTACTTACATACTGACATATAATTACCTAATCATTAATTCAAGTTCCCAAAATCATCGACCTTGTGGTTCATCGTACGGTAGTTACCTATTGATCGACAGAGGTCAAGGGTAACGTAAGAACGTTTCCTAACAGCTGGTAGGTACATCTACTCTATAGGTATATAATTATTATACTTCATCAAGCACTACATAGTATAAAACAAAGTCGCTTTCTCTGTCCCTATGTCCCTTTGTATGCTTAAACCTTTGAAACTACGCAACGGATTTTGATGCGGTTTTTTTAATAGATAGAGTGATTCTAAAGGAAGGTTTATATGTATAATACATGCATAATATAGTAGAGAAACACTGATAAATTTAGAGGTTTCTAATGTGATGTCATAAATCAGCACGTTCGGATAAAGAAATTGCAACAACTACTTTTTACCAGATATTTTATGGATGAGTCCCATGGAATACAGCACAGTACATATAAAGATATGTTCTGTGGAATACAGAATAAGCTTAAGATTCAATACAAGCACCTTACAGACTAAAGAATGCAATATTATTTGTTTATGCATATTGCTATCAAAATTTTGTCAGGCGTTATTTCGAATATTTTTTATTGAATAAAATAGGCTTGTTCTAACGTTTCTTGTTTTATCTCTGTATTTGTCAAATGCACATTCACAATAACAACAATGTTACAAAGTATTAGTAACATTTTAGCTGGCAGAAATACCAGACTGTTGCTATGGCAACTAAAAAGTAACCAAGTAATTTAATAAGTAATTTAACAAGTTTATGTGTTTGGACTTTCTTTAAAATTATTTCTAGACAATTTTTACAATTGTTTCTCTATTGCAATATTTAATTCCCTATAAATACAATTTAATACGTACCTACGTAAATGGTACCCAACCATTTTCGTTCCATAAAGTGACTGATGTCGCCCGGGTTGATGCTAGCGAGCTGGCAACAGTGCGGCGACCGCGCGTAGCAGTGCAAAACGTAGTCACGCCGCGGCCGCTTGCCGTGCGTCAAACAATTGTGTGTTGTGGCATTATTTCAAGGTTTTAAACAATTTTAAGACCAATTCTTGTGTTGAATACTTTGTGAATTGATAGTAATAATTTATTAAGCCATGTTGGACCCACAATTAGCTCAGATTGATACAGATTTGTTGATACAAACAGTAAAAGAGCGCCCATGTTTGTACGCGCGAGACTCATCGAAGTATACCGATGCGAATTACAGAAATATTATGTGGGAAAACGTTGCGAGTATTTTATTCTCTGATGTCTGGGAGAAATGTAACGACAATGAAAAAGCAGAAAAAGGTTAGTTATTGTTTGATTTTTTTATTATCATTTTGTTTGTTTTTGTTATGTGACAGTTGACAGATTGGTTTGTGTCAAACTTTCGTTTATTTTTGTTCTTCTATAAAGGTTATCATTAAAAAGTTTTTATTTTATTCCTATAAAAATAAAGAATAGTTTGTATTATTGTGCTTTTACTTGACTCTTACGGCTTAAGTTTTAGCTGAGCTACTAAATCGTGTATCAAAATGTTCGAACGCCAACGCCATCTCTTAACTAGATTTGTAAAACAAGCATTAGTAGTTTCTGTTCACGAAGAACGTCTTTACTAAAATTGTAATAGGTTTTATGTGGGATTAATAGTTTGTCAAGATCTGTTCCATGAAAAAAATAATTAAGTAATTATTTTTAACATTTCTTTATTATTATAAAATATATTGAGAATGTTTAATCTGTAAATACAGTTACTTTAATAAACTCTAACCAGAATTCAGGCACTACATGAATTGCTGACCTCGTATTTATACAGATGCATAGCATTCCATCTAGTGAGCTAGCGGGGCGAGAAATTGCACAATTTGCACATAAATATTAGCATTCCATCATCATTTTATTTCATAGCAGACGCCTGGCGGTCTGTTGAATATTATATTGTATTCTGCAATCCTACAACACGTTGGTCTTGTGGTTTTGTAAGGCGTTTTATAAGTATTAGGTATTTTTAGGCACCCAGTGTTTTTTATTACGTAAATGATTTTTTTTAAAGTTTATTGTAAGTATTATTTTATATCCTACATAAGTTTAATAAAATAAAGGTAGATACTTAATTGCCAACAAACTGATAAGTTTATCGTGAACGAAAATCAACTCTATGACATTATCTTTGGTTATTACATAATCACCAGAGTAAGATGTCGTGGTGGCCCGGAGGTTTAAGACGCTGGCTTCTCATGCATGAGAATGCAGGTTCGAAACCTACCAACGGCAAGTACCAATGTGACTTTTTCCGAGTTATATGTACTTTCTAAGATTATTTAGACACCACTGACAGACGGTGAAGGAAAACATCGTGAGGAAACCTGGGCTTATAATTTCTAATTAAAGTTTGTAATCGCCAACCCGCATTGAGCAAGCGTGGTGATTAATGCTCAAACCTTTTCTGTGTGAAAAGAGGCTTTGCTCAGCAGTGGGCATTTATAGGCTGTTGATGAATCACCAGAGTTTTTATACATCAATAATTTTGACAGCATGGTTGGCGCTGTAGTTGGCTCAAAATCTCAAAATGCTCAATCCCCGCACGGAACAACTCTTTGTGTGAATATGCAAATTGTTGTTTTGGTACTGAGTGTTATTTGTATGTGAAATTCTATGTTTGTAAACTCACTCACGAAACAGAAGAAAATCCCAGTGTCAAATGCTTTTTAAAACAGAAAATAAAAGAATAACTATTTTTTTTTTTTTGCAGTGGAACTCGTACAAAGAAGATGGAGAAACCTTCGGGCATGCTTCCGCAGAGAGCTAACTCGTCAATCGGACCCGAAATGGGTATACGGAGTGTCATACAAGAGACGTAAATACATACACTACAACGACCTCCTCTTCCTTCGTTCAGAAATTGATATCAATGATGATGATCCCTCACAAGACATCGACCTACCAGTCAAAACAGATGATGATAATACAAAAGTCACAGTTGACACAAACATAGAAGAAATCCCCATTGCAGAAATCAGGCCTGTTTTAAAACCGAATAAAATCGAAAAAGTCGAAGCTTTAACACCAGAACCAATTGAAATAAGTACTAAACACGAACCTGATAGTACGAATTTTGCACTATCGCTAGTCCCTATGTTAAATATGTTACCAGTTTATAAAAGAATTGACGCTCAAATATCTATATTGTCGGTTATAAAGAAGTTTCTTCAAAATGCTGATGACGATGATGATATGGATAAAGAGGTAGAAGTTAGGAAGGAAAAGAAGAAAAGTGATTATACAAGGAAACGTAAAGTTAATGAACCGACTGTTTGTGTTGAAATTAAAAGTGAAGCCGGGAGTGATGTCGAGGATGTTTCAAGTATTTTTTAGTGCAATTACGTCGTGAGTAAGAAATATTAAATTAACAAAAAATAGTGGTGAATGTATTTTCTTTCTTTCTTTTCGTTGTTTCCAATATGGCGTGTTACATACAAACATAACATCACGCCTTTTAACCCCCAAGGGGTAGGCAGAGGTGCACATTATACCACTGTACAATGTAACACCCACTTTTCACTATTTATGTTATGAATCCCATGTAATAGGGGGTGAGCCTATTGCCATATACCGGGCACAGTTCCAGACTCCGTGCTACTACTGAGATTTTTTTTTGAAAAACCCAGTAATACTTTGCCCGACCCGGGAATCGAACCCGAGACCCCTTGCCCGGCAGTCGCACTTGCGACCACTCGGCCAATGAGGCATTCAGTATGGCGTGTTACTCTTGTAAATATACTGACAAAAGCTACTAGTTTCGAGCTACTAGATTATAGAGTGTAGAGTACGCGACATCACCGCGACCGCGCACGCTGCTCATGAGGACGAGCCTGTCTGTGGTTCGAAACTAGTAAAGCTTTTCTCCGTATATTCACGTGAGTAACCCGCGATTTTTAGGTAATTTAGTATGTCTCACGATAGTTATTATAAAAATAAAGTAAGAAATATATTTTCTCTAGATTTTGTATTGTTTTATTTACACTTTCCCTAGTAAAGCCAGTTCGAACTTTTGATTTTAGATAAATACAACCATCGAATGTTATCCCAATGTAGCTAATTTGATATTCCAAATTATTACCTACATCAATTTCATCAAAACTGGATCAGTAGTTGTTGTGTGGCAGTGTGACAAACATACA